GGATATATATATATATATATATATATATAGAGAGAGAGAGAGAGAGACAGAGAGAGAGAAGAGACAGTGAATGAGAACGGAAAGGAAACGAAACACGCCTCCGAAGGCCAAGATGTTCCGCAGAGGCCCCCAGGGCCCCCTAGGAGCCCCCAAGAGGCCCCACAGAGGCCCCTCAGATGCCCCCGAGATACTCCCAAGGAGCCGCCAGGAAGCCCCGAGGCGGCCTCAAGAGGCCTTCGTGCCTTCCTCCTCCTCCTCCTCCTCGTCCTCCTTCTCCTCCCTCTCCTCCTATGACCTGCAGCCTGATTGCGAGTGCTGCACGCCCCCGACAGCGGCTACTCCATGGGTCCTGGGGTGCACCCCTCAAGGGCCACAACGGTTGGGGGGGGGGGGGCACGGAGTCCAACTGCTTGGCCAGGCGTTGCCCAGAAGTTTAGCGGTATGGGCGTTTCCCCAAAAAGGCAGGGTGCGCGCTGGTTTGCCGCATGCGTCGTCGAGAAAGCGAGGGAGAGAGGAGAGAGAAGAAAGATAGAGAGAAAGAGAGAGAGCGAGCGCGAGACAGAGCGCAAGATAAGAGCGATAAAGAGCGCAAAACATACACCTACACAACCACCCTTCGGGTGATAAGGAGATTGTGGTGGGGGGGAGAGGGGGGAAACCAACATCTGACTCAATCGATCTCAATACCGATCTCACTCAACGGGACACCACGGGACACCACGGGACACTTGTCGATCTCACTATCGATCTCACTCAACGGGACACCATGGGCCACCACGGGACACCACGGGACACCGCGGGACACCTCTCGATCTCACTATCGGTCTCACTATCGATCTCACTATCGATCTCACTCAACGGGACCCATAGGACACCACGGGACACCACGGGACACCTCGGGACACCACATCAATCTCGCTATCGATCTCGCTATCGATCTCACTCAACGGGACACCACGGGACACCACGGGGACACAACGGGACACCTGTCGATCTCACTATCGATCTCACTATCGATCTCACTTTTTGGGACACAACGGGATTCAACGGGACACCTCGGGGCACCACATCGATCGCAATATCGGTCCCACTATGAATCTCACTACCGATCTCACTCAACAGGACACCACGGGACACCACGGGACACCTGTCGATCTCACTATCGATCTCACTATCGACCTCACTTTTTGGGACACCACGGGACACTTGGGGGCACCGGGGGCACCACATCGATCTCAATATCGATCTCAATATCGATCCCCGTATCGATCTCAATATCGATCTCACTCAACGGGACATCACGGGACACCACGTGACACCGCGGGACACCGCGAGCCACCGCTAGACGGACGGACGGAGTGGCGGGCGGGGGAGAATCCTTTGTCTTGAATTCGTCCTAACAACGGCGGACACCATGGGACACCACGGGACACCGCGGGACACCGCGAGCCACCGCTGGACGGGCGGGCGGGGGGAAATCAATTGTCTTGACTTCGCCCTAGCAACGGCGGGTTCTTTCCTCGCGCGCGCCCGCGCAACTTCGCCTCGCCCGCACGCACGACACGAACGAAACGAAACGATTTCCCGGTTGGGGGTATCCGTTCCACTGCGATCTCACCCCACAACCTCCGATATATACATATATATATATATAGAGAGAGAGAGATAGAGAGATAATGCTGAATGCTGAATGCTGAAACTCCGAGGAGGATGGCGGCTCAACCTGATCACGCCAGCAGCTCTGGGCCCTGGCGCGTGCAAAACAATGCACAACCTTCGGCGACTTTGCCACGCCTGAAAACAGACTACCTTGAGGCAGCCTGCTCTTTCAGACGAATTCTCTCGGCGAGGGCAGCCATCCTGGACTCGTAGGTCGGGGGGCCCTCGGACACAGGAGCTCTGGAAACGCGTGTGGTCTCAAGCTCGGGACGCCTCACAGCACAAGACACAGACTGAAGAGCTGGGAGGGCGGCGTCAACCTGGCGAGCGAGTCCCCTGTGGGGGCCAACTCCGTTACGTAAATTCGCAAGGACCTCAAGCCCCTTCCTGGTGGGGGGCTCGCAAGGTCGTCTTAATTTGCTCCTCCTGGACTGCTGAGCCCAGGCACCACACTTAGTACACACATACACTGGGCGGCAGCAACCTGGGCACGCAGGGGCCTTGCCCCCCTGATTCACAGCTACAAGTGTGCGGCCTAGAGGGGTACGCACAAAACTGTCAAGATACTTGGGCATGCCCCTACATCCTGAGAGGGGCTTGTCATGCGTGTCATGTGCTAAACACAAACACTTGCTACATTGCTCGCCTATCACTGTGCGGCGCCAGTCATGCCAACGAGTGCGCTGAATGTGTGCAGCGCGCTGTGCCACCGACGCTCGCGACCAGCGCTCCTCTCTGTCGAAAAGCGGCAGCACGGCGGCGGCCAGAGACACGAAACCATTCGCGATGCGCAGCCCAGTCTCGAGCTGCTCATCAAGCTCACGCGGCACGGGCTCATGCAGCTGGACCGCGCGCTTGGCGAAGACGTCAGCAACAACATTGGCGTCAGTGAGACGCTTATCAACCTCAGACAACTGAGCATACTGGTCAGCAGAGCGATGTTCCTTCACGTGCGACACGGACCGAATGTGATGAAAACCATGCACCTGTTGACCAAAAAGCTTGACACAACCATATCGCGCACCAGGTCGCAGCTGCTGTTCGGGGCGATTGGTGGCCCCAATCACAGCAGCCATGTAGTCAGCGAGGACGTCCGTCGGCCTGTCCACCACTTGCCCGACGTATGCCAGTGCCAAGTGCTCAGCCATGGCTGATCGCTGCGGCAGGGAGCCAGGGACTGCACCGCACATCACTCGGAGCGGCTGGTTGCCGCTCGGGTCCAGCAGTGCCAAAGCCCAGCCAGCGCGGCGAGCAGCTGCAAGGAGCGGCACACTGCAAGAGCAGTCACCTGCAATCTCCACGGACGGGACGCTGGGGGCAATGATGTTGCAGAGAGCCTCAGGCTCACGATTTGCTTCATGACCATCAGCATCAAGAAGGTGGACAGTCGTACCGCTATCAAGCGGTGGCAGCAGACGCTCCTCGTAGGCGAATGCCCCCGTGACTTAGCGCAGATCCCCGTCAGCTTCGTGACCCCCGTGGGTGAACGTCGGACTGACTCCGCTATCAGAACGTGCCGCGACTACGTCAGCTCGCATGCAGGAGTAGAGCCTGTGGTGGACAGTATCAGGCTGCCCGCAACTGCAGAGGCCGTTGGTGTCGTACCCGCGCTCTCGTGCCCGCTGTCGTGTCCACACTCCTTCGCATGCGCAGGTGCGAATGAGGAACTTCTGATACTTGGTGTACTTGGCCGAGCGCTCGCGGGCCGCGCCCTGAATGAGGTTGAACGTGACACGAACTCCAGCAGGCAACTCCCATTTGTCAGCAAATTGACATTCGAGCATCCGCTGCATCGCCGCACTGAGCAGGTCCTCAACTACGGCTGGTGAAAGCTGGTCGACACGACCCTTTTGATCCAGATGATCACGCCAGGGGGCGCCGCTGTGTGTGGTCCAGCCGACGCGCTCAAGACACAGAGCCGCTCGCTCCAGTGGCCCTCGTGACTTAGCCCAGCTGCAAGGGCGGCCCAAGAAAGTAACAGCAGAGTCCCACCAAAGCAAGAGATCTTCCTGCGATACAATCGCACGCTCAGGACGTGTAATAGCTTCCCACAGCATGCGGCTGTACTGAATGACTGGCGCGATCGCCTGTCGGATGGCGGGGTCACCGTCCAGCGCCAGCTTGGCCGTGGCCGACGTGCCCCCGTGGTAAGGCTTGACCTGGCGCCCATAAGCACGGCGAAGATCACCAAGCTCTGCATCAGCCAGGCCATTGACTTCTACTCCTTACGTGCATGCAGGGCGCGCGCCAGTGCGGTAGATCCTGCCTAGGCGAAGGTCCTTCTTCACAGGAGTCGCTTTCTTGTACTTGGATATCTTGCGCATCCGCCTCCTGTGCCGAGCCAGGCGAGCCCTCTGCTTGGCACGAGCTCCTGGGGCCTGACGAGCGCGACCTGCTGAGTAGTCGACGCCTAGGTAGGAGACAACACGCCTGACTGCCGCTTCGTCAGTCACATTTAACTGAAGTGCAACTTCTCGCCCAAGCGCAGCACTAGAAGCGACGATGGCAAACTTGTCATTGATACGAGATCCAAGCCACGTGGCCACCTGCTGAAAATCACGCCCAGCCTGGACGGCAAGCTGGATGACACGCTGCGGATCGGCGTGATGCAGGCCAATCGCCGTGTCGTCAATATAGCTGGAAGAAGATGCCAGCGGGTGAAGGCACACGTGCCTGTCATACTCCGCCAGCGCGTGAACTTTGATGGCAATGTCAGCAACACCATCACCAGCAGGTACTCCGCGCAGTGCAAATCCTGGAAACTCTCCATGGTGCCGTTGAGACCTAATGATCCGTGGACCTCGCCACGTATTGAAGATGAGCTTAGTGAAACCAGTGGGCGCCTGCATCTGGTCGAACTTAAACTGCAGCTCGTCAAGGTTAATCTCCTCATAATACTTCGAATAGTCAGCCACCAGCGTGACAGAGTGCATCTGAGTAGACGCGGCCACTTCAGTCCGTGCCGCCGGCACCCAAGCATTGTCGATCGCCGACCTGCCAGTGGAGACACCCCAGTACTTGCGATCAAGAAACTGCTGCAGAGGTTCCGAATGCACTCGTTTGGCGCGCTGCCAGACGCGGTAGCTGGCAGCGTAGATCACAACCAGCCTGTGCCCGCCAGTCGGCTTAGGGAGCATGGGGAGGAGGATCCACTGCAACTGCTTCGGCAGCAAGCCGAGCGCTTCTGTAGCCTCCCATAGGGCGCTCAGCACGTTGAGCGCATCATCACTGAGGAACGCGAAGCAGCGCGGGTGGATGCCGTCCAGGCTGCTGGCAGTCGACGACGGAAAGGACTTCGCAGCCATTCTGATCTGCTCAGGCGTGGCTCTGGGCAGGGACGCGCGATCAGGAACACGAGCACGTTGCGCCTGCGCTGATCCATGCCACACTTCCATGTAGGATTTCTCCATGACCCGAACAACGTGATGAGGATGAACAGTGGCACCTCGGGCTCCGCGAACAGTCGGCTGCTGCGCATCCTTGACCTTGGTGACGCGGTGGAGGCCACGAGCACCGCCAGCACTAGCTTGGTCGCGCCACGCCTTCCAGCGACTGCTGCTGTCTCGGCCTGCCTCCTGGTTGACGGCCTGGAAGTCCCCCCCAATGTCGGCCAGCAGCTCGCGCAGGTTGTCAATGCGAAGCGGCGCGTAGGAGGCGAGCCTGCGGGCTTGCTCCACGGTGGCATCGAGCCTGTGGTTGAGCCCCTGGCCGACGTAGACCAGCGCCTGGAAAGACTCGATCTCTCGCGCCAGCTGGCTGGCGGAGGAGCCATCACGCTGTCTGTGCACTTCGGACACCGAGTTTAGACAAGCTGCATCCAGCAACGGCGCCGCACCGCCGCCAGGGGTCGGACCGAGACTGCCATCCTGCCCAAAAGACACAGCAGGGGGGTGGGAGCTGGCGCATGGCCTGGATCCGATGTTAGACCGATTCCCATTCTGAGTAGTATCACTGTCATCCAGATCTGCAGCCAGGTCCTCGAACGGGTCGCGGTCCTCAACGTCCACGGCGTGACCAGCTGCAGGTTGTGGGCATGGAACTGCTCTTGTCGCCAACGAAACCGTCGAAGCTGGCTGGCCACTAGTAGGCCTGACAGAGGCGCCCTCGCCCAGCTGGATGATGTAGGTGATAGCATTGTGAAGCCACCGCCAGCCCTCGGCGCGGGCTTGAACGCCTTCGGGATCCTTGGCCTCATAGCTGACCTCCACCCACCTTGGCGTGGGGCACCTGGCGAAGGAGTTGAAGTCCTTGATCTCTGTGGCGGTGACATGCGAAAGCCTCTGAGCTGCGCGCGCTACAAACTTGG